GAGTACATGTGAGGAACAGCAAGTAGGTAAGTGCAAGTGGATCACAAAGTATCTAGAAGAGAATAAAGTGCAAAAAGACTGGCAAAGTAGGAAGACACCAGGTTGTGAAGGGGATTTTATATTTGATGCTAGATGTAAAAAGAGCCACTGGAATTTGCTGAGAGGGCTATAGAAGCAACATGGCCGGATCTGCTCTTAAAGATCATTTTGGCAGCCAAGTGGAGGATGGATTGGAGTACGCAGAGACTTCCACCATTTATATTTTCACATTTTCATAATACGAAGTATGATGATTCACCAAACCAATCATTTCCTTCTCACTTATTCATGATTTTCTATGTCTCCCTATTCTAGTAGGTCTATGGGATTAAGTACATGAAGAAAAACTTCTTTAATATGTTGCCTAAATACAAAAACAAGCTAACATTGGAAGCTACAGAATTTGTCAGTAAAGAGCATTTAAAAATACGGAAATGGCTATTTGTTGCTAAGTATTTGTCTATTGGAAATGATCTGGTACAAATAACATACCAAAATTCTTTCCCAACCCAAAGTGACATGTATGTAATCTTCATTCAGGTTTTGCTTAATATAAGAAAGAGTGAGAATTCAGTGCAATGGAAAGAACACTGGACTTGGAACAAAAAAAGATTATGGTTCAAGTTTTGGCTCTGCCATTTGTTTTGCAAATCATTTAAAATTTTGGGATTTGTTTTCTTCATTGAACCATCTATTTTATAAGGTGGTTTTGAAGAAAGTGTACTGAAAACATTAAATGTGAGTTTTTATTATTAAGTCTTTAAATGAATGTATAATGCTTTCCATTAATTGTAGCAGCTTCTTGGCTTGCTCTTCATAATCTCAACTACAGTTACATTCATGACAGATACTTCAGAAAATTCATGATTACTCAGTTTCTGTACCCTCTCCTATGATTCAGGTTGAAATCTCTGTATTGCAAATGGCCAACCATCTGGTGATTAGCTTATCTGAACGTAGTTAACTTGGTCCTTATTTGTTAGTCTTGTCTATACTCAAGGGTTTACAGAATGGACCTCTTTTACACAAAGCCTCTGAAATCCCTTAGTTATCTCCAACATGATCAGGCATCAGAATAGAACTCTGGTATAGGGATTTTCTCATAATCCTTAAATAAAATGAAGTGATACCAACTGGTAGAGTAGAAAATTTAAGGGAATTGATCAATATTGAAATAATGAGTTCCATATTGTGGTTGAATACTCAAAGAACATTAATGGACTGAAATGTTGACATAGTTTTCTTTCTATTTTCATATGGTAACTTTTCCCTAAGTATTTATAGTTTTCTATAACTAGTGAAGTGGGGATGCTCAGAGAATAAATATTTAAATACTCCTATAAAGAAAAAAAATACATTTTTATAAATACATCATGATGTTATTGTTTTTATGATTATTATCATCATCATCTTAGTGTACTGCTTTAAAGTTTTCAAAGCTCTTTCCAAACTGGCATGTGTCTATGAGATAAGTAGTATAGCTATTACTCCCATTTTATGGATTAAGAAGCTGAAGCTCAGAAAGATTAACTGACTTGCCTGTGGTCCCAAAGCTTTTATGTTCTGGAACCAGAATTCAAATCCAGGGCTCTGACTTCATCTTCGGCAGTCTCATAATGAGATGCCTGTATTTTAAACCTCTACAAACTGATATTTACTTATTTTTAACTGGGATATCTAAATTTCAAGTTGAATGACTAGAAACATCTATGTGATCATCACAATGGTAAAAAAATAAACAAACAAACATGCATACAACTTCTGAGAAGGCAAGTTATTTCACATGTAGTTTACACACTTAATTTTGTCAAACATTTCTGGTAGGTTTTCATATGTATATGTCTGCATAATTCATATTTGGATTTTTATGTCTTGAAAACTGATATGCTTGGTGAAGCCAAGAAGGCAAAGTACTAGGAAGCAGTGCAATAAGTTCCCCCTGCCCAAACTCCTCGAAACAGAGCTAGAAAATGCAGTAGACCAATCCTGATGGGAAAATCCAAGAAAAAGTCACAAGAGAGTCATTATTGCACCCCAAATTGGAAAAGAGAGACACAGAGGCCTGTGGATATGGGGACAGATCTGACCAGGAGAAGTTCTCAGGTGCCCAGGGAAAGGCTGAACAAACTGTGGTATGTGAATATGATAGGGTACTATTGTACTATAAGAAATGATGAGCAGGATGCTCTCAGAAAAACCTGGAAAGACTTGCATTGAATTATGCAAAGTGAAATATACTGTGTACAATGTAACAGCAGTATTGTAAGATAAACAGTTGTGAATGACTTAGGTATTCTCAGCAATATTCAAGACTGACGGACTTATGATGAAAAATACTATCTGTCCCAAAGAACTGTTGGTGTTTGAATACAGATTGAAGCATACTTCTTTTTTTACTTTATTTTTCTTGAGTTTTTTTCTTGTCTGTTTTCTTTTACAACATGACTATTATGTATACATTTTGTATGATTACACATGTATAACTATATGGAAATGCTTACCTTCTCAATGGGGGTGAGGAGGGAGGAAAAGAGAGAATTTGGAACTTAAAAGTTTTTTAAAATGAATGTTAAAAATTGTCTTTACATGTAACTGAGGAAAAATAAAATACTAAAAGCTAAAAAAAGCTATTAAAAGTTACAGGGATTCTCAAGTCACAAACCCAGAAAACACTGATCCCAAGACATGTGCAAGCAAAGACTCAAAGAAAAATGCAGCTTGGGCACAAATTCAAGTAGAATTTGTGAAAGAGGTGAAGCAAGAGTTAAAAATGTTTTAATTAATGAAATAAGAGGGAAAGTTGGAAATTAAATGAGAATTATGGAAGAAGGAATCAGAAAGGCACAAGAATTACAAAGCCTTGCGCAAATTATAAATTCTCTAAAAATTAGAATGAACTAAAAAAAAGCCAATGACTCCATGCATCAACAAAAATATTAAAACAAAGTCAAAAAACTGAACAAAAATGGAAGAAAATTTAAGATTTCTCATAATAAAAGTAATTGACCTGGAAAAAAGATTCCAAAGAAAAAAATTAAGAATCATTGGACTACCTAGGGGTCATGACCAAAAAAGAAGAGCCTAGACATCAAATTTCAAGAAATCTTAAAACTGTTCACATTTCTTAGAACTAGAGGGCAAAGTAGAAATAGAAAGAATCCAGCAGTCACTTATTGAAACTCCAAAATGAATTTTCCCAGGAACATCATAGCCCAAATCTAGAACTTTCAGGTTAATGAAAAAAATACCTCAATCAGACAGAAAGAAAGAATTCAACTACCAAGGACCCACAGTTGGAATCATACACAATTTAAAAGCCAACATGATAAAAGAGCAGAGAGGGCTTGGATTGGACCCACTAAGGAGAAGCTATCAGAAGACGTGGACAATGTTGCACAAGATGAAGTATGGATGGGTTGTGATCTATGTGAGAGGTATCAAACACACAGTCCTTACATCCAGGTTAAAATGTAACTGGGAAATATTTAACAAAATAAATATACAATAGAACATTGATAATGTTAGTATATGGTTTTCTAATTAAATAAGCAGCCCACAAGGATCCTTATGCATGATTTAGTGGCCTCTGTTTCTACTTGAGTTTGATAACACTGATCTATACAACTGGAGAGAATAACTACATCATTAAATATTGAAGTACTCTCCTGGTGATGTTATATGGATGTGAATCATGGAACACCACAATCTCTAAAGAATAAAAATTCCAGTTTATCCAAAGATAAAAGTAGAAGCTTTGGTGGATATAAGTAGGTTGTAGTACATGATTAATAATAACTTTGTCCATAAATGGTGTAAAATATACTATCAAGGAAATATGTAAGAAAAGAAGGTAGGTTAATCATGTAATGAAAGTAAAGAGATAATAGAAATAGAGGAAATGTGGTAGAGTGGAAAAAAAACACTATTTCTGAACTGAAAGGAAATGGATTCAAATCCTGCCTCTGAATTTATTAACTGTATAAGCTTGGGAAACGTACTTAACCACCCTATGCCTCAGTGTTCTTTATGTATAAAATAAGGGCTGAGAATGGCCTTGAAGATACCTTTCATTTCTAGACCCATCGCCCCATGAACTAAAAAAAAAAGGCAATTGGGAAGAGCCTGGGTAGAGAATGGAAAGAAATTAGTGAACAATTTCACAGAATGAGAAAAAACGTATGTATTGTGATCTGCACCAATATAGGGAATAACCAAATGATGAATCCACTGAAATATATATTACTATACTTTACTGAAGTAAACTCACATGGCACATGAACATAGATACTTATATATTTGCATTGAATAGATAGTAGTAACTATAAGATTATGATCATGATTGCTGACATTTATGATACTTAAAGGTTTGTAAAGTGCTTTAAATACATTATTTAATTTTATTCTCATGATGAACTTGTAATTATTGTCTTCATTTTTAAGATCTAAGGTTCAGAGACTAACTTGCCCATGGCCACAAACTGATAAATGTTAGAATTGGGATTTGAACACAGGTCTCTCTTGAATCTAAGTTGAACACTTATCCCCATTATTGTACAAGTTTCATTAGCAATGAAATCATGAGACTTTTCCCAATGTGAAAAAGTATATTTTCACATAAACAAAATTCATTTAACTAAAAATGTATACAACCATCTATGTAAAAATGTGTCAATTATTTAAAAAAGGTCCTGTCATTAGATACTCTAATCAAACATATTTAACAACAAGAACTACATTAATGAGAAGCTTATAGTCTGTTATTTGCTATGATATTTGAATTATTACTATTTTGTTAGGTCTAGGTTGGTGAAGTATGAGGTCACTGCTGTTTCTTTTGTTTTATCAATGCCATGGGCATTTTAAGAAAAAATTTAAACAGAATCTGAGAAAACAAAGTTAAATAAAATACTGTAATAATTACTAAAACCTTAGCTTTACGTAAAAAATGTCTTTTCTTTTAGGCTCTAAAGATGAAAATCACAGGCATCTTAATCTTGCTTTGGGAACTGTCACTTTTAGCAACAGGCCTAAGCTGTACTTTTAAAATAGTAAGTTTTGAAATCAGAGGTATGAATTCTTCAATGGAGTTTTCAAAAGATAGAGTACATTCATAAGAACTATGATCAATATATTAAACAATCTTGACTCCAGACGATTTATCTTGACTCCAGAGTATTTATGAGGCACATCTTCCTCCTTTTGGTAGAAATGTGGTAGGCTATAGGTATATATGCCATCAGACACGATCAGTGTGCCAGTCTGAATTGCCTAACTGTATTTTTGTCACAAGACAAGGTTCTTCTGGGGAGGTAGCCACTGTGAAATGACAGCCATATATTTTTGAAAGCACCAGTAAACCATTAAAAAGGAGTCAAATTGGCTGAACATTCTACAGGAACAGAAATAGTAACACTGTGACCTATCAGAACAGTGGTTCTGAAAGTTATAATTAACCTATCTAATCAACTAATTGGTCTTTCTTAAAAAACAACCAAGATATTTATTCAAAATCGTATTTGTGAACTATGATCTGATTCGAAAGACTTGCATTATGATAGCTATGGTTCCTAAAAATGTGGATATAAAAATAATTCTGCACTTCTCCATGGACTGTCATTCAAAAACTAGAAATGACATTCTTTTAGAAGAGAAGGGGGAAATAGAGAGCTTGGAATGTATTCCAAGATATAAACATACACTTTATTCATGAATATAAGAAGCCTTTTAAAATAACCTATTTATGGTAAAAAATATTCTGAAGCAAAAACTGATATTTGTGTTTTCTTAGAATTTTATTATGATAAGGTCTCTTTGTGTGCATTTTGCTATTGGGTATAATGAAAAGGATTTTTTTCATTATGTGTTCATTAAAGCGTGGATTTCCACACAGAAGGTTTCCTTGAAGGACACATAAGCACATATTATACGGCCTTTCTCCTGATAAATCACTAGTCAATAATAGTATTATTACAGTATATGATTGTGGTGGGGGTGATCAGAATAATCCCCTCACTTACTGGACTGGATCTGAATTGGGTCACTTCCTGGGGGGCTGGTCATGAGTTCTGGTCTCTTGCTGAGATGACACAGAAATTCCTGATTGGTGTTCCCTATCATTTGGTAATCCTGCATACATACCAATCATACAGGGCTGATTCTGGTTAAATTGATATAAAAGAGGTGATACCATGTGTGTTAAGGGTTGTGTCACCGCTGACTGATTCAGAAAGTCACCATCCCCATGGAATAGAAGAGAAACTGAGTAAAAATAACTAATTTTTAAAGTTATATTCAGGGCTTTCTCTTCCTTAAACTTCCAGAAATATCCAAAGGCCTTGGAAGTTCAAGCGGTAGAGTTATTGTGCTCTGTTTTCTTGTAGTATCATTTCAATAAGAATCCACAAGGGCAGCTGAGTCACGCCGTGGATAGAGCACCGGCCCTGAAGTTAGGAGGATCTGAGTTCAAATCCAGCCTCAGACCAAACATTTGACACTTATAGCTGTGTGACCCTGGGCAAGTCACTTAACCCCAATTGCCTAAAAAAAAAAAAAGAATCCAGAGCACATGTCCTAAGGAATGGGAACAGAGGGCACATGCAGCTTCATGGAGGGTAAGTCAGTACAGTAAATCAGGGGATTCACTTGTCATTTCTGTTACATCAGTATAACAAATCAGAATCTGTCTTCTATGGTTTGCATGCGTGCAGGATTTCCAAATCCTTTGGAAAATTAGTCTAGAACAGGAAAACAGCTTGTCATGTTTATTTTAAGTCCATAATTGCAATAAATCAATTACTGGATTGCCCTTTCAAAACCAGTTCCTTCCTATCCCTACCTTTCAAGAACAATTTGTATCTGAGATCTTCTGGTAGTCTGTTAATTCTTTTCTGGTTAATATGCTTTTGTTCTTTTTCAGGATGGCAGTCATAATTTCACTGCAAAGAACCATACTTCACTTCCACAAAATATAAATAAAAATGTTACTATACTTGATCTCAGTTATAACCAAATCACCCTGAACAGAATAGATATAAGTATTCTTCAGACACATGTTTTACTAACTGAACTCAATCTGAACAACAACAAAATTGTTTTCCTACATAATAATAGTTTTGGTAGTCTTTCCAGCCTGGAAATTTTAAGTATCAGCAGCAACTCTATCAATACAATTGAGCAGAATGCTTTTGTAGGATTAGATAAACTAAAACAATTGTGTCTTTGCCAAAATAAAATCGCTCAACTGAATCCTTCTACATTGATACCTCTAAAAAGCCTGATGGCTTTGAATTTGCAAAACAACATGATAAGTTTTTTTGATGTTCCAAGACAATTTCAACTGGAAAAAATAATTTTATATGGAAATCCATGGAACTGCTCTTGTAGTCTATATAATTTACAGAACTGGTTGAATACCTCAAAAGTAATACTAGGTAAGTTATAAAAATGAAAATATTTCAAAAATAACATGAGCTTCACTTCAGGTTGTCGTTCCCTAGAAGACTCGCATAAAATTAAATTATGTAAAAACAATGAATTTGTTCATATTTAGATAGAAAAGAAATACTTTGAAAAGCAGCAACTGTGAATAACAAAAGTAACATGAATATGTACATAAAATTAGATCTTATTTGCCTCAAACAAAAAATTCACTTTGTGTGATGCTGCTTGCATTTCATATCTTTATATTTCTTGCTTTGGCATTTGAGATTGTTTTTTACTATGACATTCTTCCTGTGTGGGATATGCTGGTGACAATAGATACTTTAGTTGTATAGGCTGAACTATAATTATAGACTGAACACTTTGAATATCCTGATTTTAATGTTACATTATTTAAAATACAACTTTATTTCAAAAGAGGCACACTCAGAACTAACTTCTGTTTAAAGATAATATTTGAGTGTCACTTTAAATGAAATACATGTTTAATGGGTAATTCAGTACCTTTCTCACAAATCTCTCTAATTGTTCCTTTATAAATCTGCTCTGGATCCAAAATGGTGAGCTAAAGACTTTTGATGTCAAAAACCCTCTCTATTTCCTTAGTTGCCACCTACTGGTAATTACAGTATTCCTGTGACCAGCCTATTCTATAGACTATTACTGAATAAACTACAGCCATCTTCTTTCTTGCCTTCCTTTCACCCTTTCAAGATGAGAGAGGACTATTCCAGATATCCTTATATAGAAAAGGTATAAGCCCTCAGGACTCCTTCTACCTCCTCCACACACCCAGGAAAAGGCAACTTTGTACCATATTATTTTTCACTTTTTCATAATTACAGAGATATTACCACCTCCTACTTATTAATGGTACGACTCTCTACTAGGTACAACTTGAAATTTATACAGAATTTTTCTTCTTAGCAACATGCAACTTTTACAAACTGCTTCAGTAAGACTTTTTGAGGAAAATGTTTTTGAAAGAGCCTATCTATTTCAGAGTGAACAGAAATTTAAAGATTTGCATTATAGTACGACCATTTTTTAATAAATTAAATATTTGACTCTGACAACGCAGAAACTTCTAAAGGTACATCCCATATAGTGAAATTTTCAAAACTGGCAAAAGAAAATGTAACCAAGGTCTTCCTATACGACTACATTTTCTAGCGACAATTTTAATTACTATGACAACACCAGTAATCTGAGTGAACTAGAACTACTTATGTCACTCAGTCTGTATAGAAATATGTTATGGCTAACTTTACTTGGAAAGAAATGCATATTATTAACCATTATCTTCTCATTTAAGTATAAGTAGCAATTCTATCAGTACAACAGAACAGGCTATTTTTACAGGCTTACATGAATTCTTTATTTTAATGAAAAGTGTAATGAATAAAAGTAATTAAGGGAAGCAGCTTGACAATGGATAGACAGCTGATTTAGAATCAGAAAAACCTAGGTTCAAGTGCTGCTTCTGATGTACAATGGCTATGTGACCCTGGGGAAGTCAATTTTACCTCTCAATGCCCTATTTAATGATTCGTTAAGTCTTTCAAGTTTCATTACAGGGGCCACCTCTCTCCCCCCTCAAAAGAAACAAAAAACAAAAACAAAACCCAGTATAGTATGGTGGAAAGAATATTGTCATAGAAGTCAGAGACCTAGATTCTAGGTCTCCGGTCTGCCAACAACCAGCTATGTGAATTTAGACAAACAAATACTTAACTAAAATAAGTTGTATCTTCATTAATAAAATGAAAACGTTGAGAAGATGGGCCAGGTTCCTTCCAGTTCTAAGTTTTTGTCACCTTATGAGTCTAATATAAATTATAATAAATTGCTTACCCTTTATTTTAAGGAAATTGAAGGTAAGTGAATATTAAACTCCCTTTTAAAAAAGCACTATTTTGATATTATCTCTAGGCAGTGAAAGAACATTAAAAATGAGAAAAATGAGTTGAGATGAAAATGAGATGAAGGGAGCTACATGTTGATATAAATTGTTATTAATAAATAAACCCTATCAACATTATCTCATAACTTATTCCTTCTACTTCACAGAAGGTGAGAATATCACAATGTGTAGCTCTCCAGATGCCCTAAAGAACTACAGCATCAAAGCAGCACCTTACGAGAATGGATGTCATTCAAAATCTCCCTTACCTATAACTCAATTTTCTAATATTCATTTCAAGTCCTCTGGCAACTCAACACTTTTTCAAAATTTAAATGACACTGTGAACAACATAACAAAAAATGCAGGTAATGTACTGATCTTTTAAATTTAAAATTTTATACAGAAATTCAAATTTTCAGATTACTTAAATCCAACTGCATCATATGTAAGAAACATTTCACTATTACTCTCCAAATCTTTTTGTATGAAGCAATGTAAAAAGGAAAGTCTAAGTCTAAATAAATAATATGCATGTTGCTATACCTTGGTAGACTGTAAACTCCCTGAGAATATGGATCTTTCTGTATGATCTTTCTGTATGTGTGTTTCCTATATAATGCAATATGTAGCACTGCCATTTGCCTGTTGATTATCAAATGCTTATTGATGGAATTGAATTATAAAACAATGTTATCCAAGTTTTAACAGAAAAACAATTTGACAGGAGTCTTCTCAGATAAGTTTACATTTTTCTTTTTCTATTTACTTATTTGTTCGTTTATTTTAGGCAATTGGGGTTAAGTGACTTGCCAGGGTCACACAGCTAATAAGTGTCAAGTGTTTGGTCTGAGGCCAGATTTGAACTCAGGTTCTCTTAACTTCAGGGCCGGTGCTCTATCCACTGCGCAACCCTGCCGCCCCTACATTTTTCTTTTTAACAAATATTCAAAGTAAGAGGATGCTCCTATGCTACCCTTGTGTTCAACCCACAACTTTTCAACATGCTGGTACCCTCGGCTCTTTAGTTCTCTAGCTTCATTATCAACTCAATTCAGCAAACACTGAGTAAGCACTATGTGCAGGACATGATGACACATCCTAGGAGATACAGATATGAATAAAACGTAGTCTTTATGCACTCCTGCATTCCTCTTTTCCCTGACACGTTTTTGACCCACTGATGACTTGATTTTCTATCCAATAACATTTGTCATTTGACTTTCAATTCATCCTTATTATTTCTGTGACATGGGTTTTTTTTTTTTGGTAGGAGATACTTCTCTATGAAAAATCAAATTCTGGAACATTAATATATCCTACAAAATTCCAATTTTGTGTAATATGGAAAAATCTATTTTAATTTTAATTAACACTATTGTTATTTACCCAAAAGTTCAGGCTAATAAATACACAAGTATAAAAGACCCATCCATTTTCACCATTCTGATTCCTAAAGTGAGTAAGAATGGTATGATCAAGAGAGAAAAAAAAAGCTACAAGGATATCTACAGTATGGTAATCGTCATTATTTTGAAAAAGCTATTAGTACACATTATCTATCAAGTGCCATGTTTTAAAAGTTTTTTTTATAACAGATTAGGTAATTTGTGACTAATGAAAGGTGGGTGGTATTTAGTCTTTAACACTTATAAATCAATAAATAATTTGGAGGTAATGAATTCTTTTACCTCATTTTTCTCAATTTGACAAGAGTCTTTTTCTCTTTCTCTTTAAGAATCTGAGCCTCTTGGTAAAAGCTGGGCCCTTCTTGTTGGTGTTGTAGTTGTGGTCCTGGTAACTTCACTGCTGATTCTTATTGCTTTCAAATGCCCAACATGGTATAACATTTTGTTTAGCTACAATCATCATCGCTTGCATGAGCAAGAGGGTGACACATATGAAGAAGATTTTACTGTATACTCCAATTCTCTTCCACAAATACCAAATACAAACCCAGAAGAAAATATAGTGATATTTGATCAATTAAGTGCATTTGTGGTAGACGAAGATGGGTTTATTGAAGACAAATACATAGATGCTCAAGAAATGCGTGAAGAAAACTAATTTTGTTCAAAATTTGATTCTTTGTAAGTGGACTGACATATTTTTAATTTAATAAGGCATAGATTTTGTTGTACATCAAATATCAAACCACAACTAAAACTTCCTATATTTGTTAATACACACACACACACACACACACACACACACACACACACACTAATGACCATTATGAAATGGTTAAAAGAAAAATTTTAAGAAGTGGACAATCCCAGTAATAAATAACTGGTAAAGCATAGTAGTAGTAATATGAGGATCTGAAACTAATAACTTGTCAATTATTAGAACACTGGATCCCGACTCATTCATATGTACTAGCTAAGCCCTATTATTCTCTAACATTTACATCAGATCCTAGATTTGGAACTGGATGAAACTTTAGAGGTCATCTATATAACCATCTCATTTTACTAATGAGGAAAATGAGGGCCCAGAGAACTTAAGGTACTTGCATAAGTCACAGAGGTTGCAGAGCTGAGGTTTGAACACAGGTCTTTTCATTCCAAATTCATTACTGTTTCCACTATACCATGAACAAAAAAGCTGATACTTGAAAATGACAGTAACTGAAATTAATTATAATTATGTTCATAAAATTAACTTATCACTTAGAAGGTACAACTGATTGCTTTTCACGGGTTCAGTGGAATTTCTCTAATTCTGGTGACAATTTAGAGCAGTGCTTTAACTGAACCTTATATTGGTGCAATCACAAAATAAATGGCCACTGATTTTAATAATGTGGAACAGTCATAACCACACTGACATGCTGTCTAGCGACTAAAGTGAAATACATATGCACACACACATAAACACACACAAATACATGTATTTATTTCATTCCTCACCACTTTCTGTTCAATTATTTTCAATCATAAAAGACAGGTAATTGTTGTAGATAGCTACAACAGATGCATACAGCAAAATATACTATAATTCTTTACACCTTCTACCTATGAAAAAATGAAAGATAATACTAAGAAGTATAGACTTCATTGTGCCAATAAGAATGATTTAATTTCACATAATAATCCGCAGAAAAGTAATTTCAAAACTTAAAATTTTAAATGCGACCCAAATCTCTACCAAGAAAAAAAAGTTATCAGAGATGGATGCACATATTCAGTGATAATAGGGCAAGAGGATGAGACATTTGTCATTTATAATAACATTTATATATCTGTCTAATTTTAAGAATGTTTATAATAAAACAGAAATGTATGTTGAGGGAAGTTATATGTGATACCTTTTGTAAGATCAAATTGCTTGCTTATAATTGCTTATACCATATTGCTAAAAATAATTAACATTCAGAGGATAAGAACATATTTTTTCAACTATTTAACAACCTGCTATGCAATGTAATTACATAATTATAATAATTTAATATTTTATCTATCACTCAGCAATGTTAATGAAACAAAACATAATTATTAAAGGACAGGAGATAAAGCTCTCCAATATGCTGATGGTACTACCTATAATACCCTGTGGTTGTTAAATAAATATTATTTGACTAACTAATATCTTTAAAGTTTTAAAAGTCATAAATTCCAAAATGTTTTTTTAAATGGATTTTTTAACCAATACTAAATCAAAAGCACAGCTATATAGCTTTAGTTTTAATTGACATCTAGAGAGAGAGCCACACTGAGCCATTAGGTAGAACAAAAAGCTCCTTGAAGCTGGCTTCCTTAGGGACTCAGTTTAAACATCCCATTAGGCCTTTCTTAGTTGACCAACTATTAGAGCCTTCCTCTTTAAAGTTACTTCCCATCTACAAAGTATGTATTTTTATGTAGGTATCTATTTATCTAACTATCTATTTATCCCTCCTTTAGAACATAAACCATTTGAAGGAGGAATGTGATTTTGCCTTTTTCTGTATTACCAATGCCTAGCATGATATCCAGCACAGAGTGAGGGCTTAATATACGGCTGTTGATTGATTAGTACAGAGGAAAACATGCTGGTATTGCCATGAAGGTAGAATGAAGTCTAGACACTGTCATTCCCTTACATGGTTTGGTATGGTAACGATAATGGTCAAGGTCAAGCTAACCAGAACATACAGTGATTTTAACACAGTAGTGACTGGAAAGGCAAAAAGTCAATGTTAGAACCTGCATATTTCTCTTTGCTTCTTAGATTAGTACAGTACGTCCTGTTCCCTTTATATGTGAACATTTAAAGATAAAATTGTTCCCTACACATTTGTGGAGGTAACGATTAACTTAGAAGTTTTTCTAATTCTTGAAATCAACTTCACAAAATTCCTTGTTTTTAGTTTGAAGTTTATGTTTTTTAAAAAAAATCATGGGAGAGACTTTCATCCAGAATTTCTTTTTAAAAACATATTTTATACTTTAAAACTCTTCTAGTAGCATTTTAGAACATACTACTAAGATTGTAAGCATTATTTTTCTTAATTAAATGTCAACCAGACTTAAAATATATCACATTCTGAAGCTAATTCACTGGTAATTACAAAGTTACAGTTTACAGAATATACAAATATGTTAATTATAAATAATGCCTATGAATAAAATAACTATGGATTAAAAGGTTAGGTAAGTAAGATTGAACCATTCCTGTCATTTTCTAAACTCTGCAAGTCTTTAAAAGGGCTAGGACTGTGTCTTATATAACTTTGCATCTTTTATAGTCAATAAAAATTTGCTGAATGAATGAATAAATTAGAAGTGGAATATTAGAAATTGGAATATGTTTATAAGAGATCAGAAACTATTCTTTTAAAATGGAATTTTGTATAATAAAATATTTCTGCAAGTACTTATCTGATTTTACTGAATTCAATATTTAAATCTCAAAAATATATTTTTGTTTATCATTGTTACTATTTATCATTATGATCATAATTGTCAAGTATGTATTGAGTGCACAGAAGGTAAAAGGTACTAGACTATTTTTGAAGGTTAGACAATTTTGATGATGAATTGTATTTCTTGCCTTCACAAGTATTACAGATGCTGTGATGAGATGAGGACACATTTGTTATTTTAGGATAGTACACAAACACAAATAGTATGTTCATCTCTGAGTTTTCTACAAATTCTAGTTATTAGGGGTCATGTCAATGTCAACATCTTTTACTTATTTATATTAATCACCTAGAAAAGCAGCATAACAGAGCGGATATAGAATGTCCTTAAAGTCAGGACAACAGGTAAAAATCTTTCCTCCAACATATACTACCTGTGTGGCTTTGGGTACATCATTTAACCTTGGCAAACAGGCAACCCTCTAAGACTATAAATTTCACAGCAGATTCCAGTTTCACAAGGAATTCCTTAAATCACAGAAAACAGGTCTGGTACAAAAAATGTGTCTACTATGTACAGTACCTGTAGTATATACTGAGAAAGGGGACAAGAATGGTGATGATGGTGATGAGACTAAAGACCATGCCATATGAAGGAATTGGGAATGTTTAGCATGGAGAAAAGAAGTCTTAGAGGGAAATGTGATAGTCATTCTCAAATATTTGAAGGGTTATCATATGTTTAGACTTCTTTTGCTTAGCCTCAGAGGACAGACCTATAAGCAAAAAGAATGAACTACAGAAAGGCTAATTAAGGAAAAACTTTCTAACAATTAAGGAAGTACAAAAGTAGAAGGGATTGCATAGGCAGGCAGTGGGATAACCCATCCCCTGAAGTCTTCAAATGAATGCTGGATAATCACTGGCTTGGAATGTTGTAGAAGGTTATGGCTTGTATTAGACAACCTTTGTGTTCACTTCCAACTCTAAGATTTTGTGTTCTAGTCCAACACTATCATTTTATAGATGAAGAAAACGAGGACCATGAAGAATAAACAACTAACCTGAAGTCAAGCAGCAAAAAGGTGACAGAGCTGAGACTAGAACGCAGGTTTTCTTATTCCTATTTCCTTGTTCTTTCCATGACGCACAACATCATTTTGCCTATCACCCCAAAATCTGACCTTCAGTCACCCCATAAAACTCTCTTACGAAGCAGTTATTTTTCTCAGGTAACTATGTACTTACGCTTGTCTTTCTGTAAATATTATATCCATACTTTGGGTTTCTTGATCATTTTGAGCTTTTAGCTGTGTAGATAATTAATCAGAAATGTTAATGATAGAAAACAACATTAAAGACACACTATTTTTCTTTAAATGATGACACTTGTTAGTAATGAACTAAATGATAAATTGTTAATGTAGACTTCTGCTCAATGCATAAAGCTTAACAAAGTTGAAAATAAGGTTGCATTTAAAAGTTAACTAATATCCTTGCAAGATTAAACACATTATTGACAATAACTTTCTAGAGATTAAGGATTTTTTCATAGACAATTTTTTCCTACCAAATTCCCACCAAATTCTTCATTAAATAAACAAATAATATGATTTTTGAGGCCCACTGAATTTAAACCACATAGAGTTGATCAAGCGTACAATAAGGAGTTTGGCAAAGGCCATTGATTGATTTTCTAAATTCAGGTTTAAAAAATCTCAACATTTCCCTCAAGATAGTGATCTTTATAGTCACTTTATTTTGCCTCTAAAGATACAACCAAAATTTCAAGTTTGCCACAAATAATTCTGCAATAAGTTATTTTGTGGATTTGCTATTAAAGCTATAGACTTTCATGAATGAATTGTGTTTTATTTATTATAACTTCAAAAATACTCTAGCTGAATCATTAGTGTTTTTAAAAGAACTCAAAATGAATTTAAGTGAACCAAAATCTAAGAAGAACCCAAACTGTAATATTTATTTCAAAATTTCAAGGATGTGTGATTTGGGAGATATCCCTACATCAATGCAGAAAGCAGAATCCCTATAACATAACATAATAAAAGAACCTGAAGCAAGACTTCAGCTGAAAAATTCACTACCCTGACGTAGCCTAGTGATAAGCATTGCTTAGGCCACGGTTTGGACAATACATGTACAATCAATCACCAGCCCCTTGCAAAAGATTTTCTGGCTTGTTTGGACCTGCCAGAGCTGGTGTACAGCTTAACCATCCCAAGATACCACCACTGTACCATAATGCGGCATCAAAATAGAACTAATTCATACTTCAATTTCACTTCTATCTCATATATAAAACAACCTGAATTATTTCCATCTAGCTATCCTGTTCTATATATGTTAATTTTCTGTGTTTTCTAAATGCTATGTAAAGAAGAAAGGAAACAAAGTATAACTGATAGAGAGCTGGCCTTGGAGACAAGATCTGAGTTCTAGATGTACTTCTGACACATACTAGCTGTGTGACCCTAGGCAAGTCTCTTAATCTTTGTGCTTTAGCCAATTCTCTAAGACTTTAAGTTACAGAACAAGTACTCCCCTGAAATGGTAGAAGCAGGTTCCTCACTCATAAGTTCCTTATACCAATGAAATCACAGGTCTAGTCCCTACCCCAACCTGCACACAAGGATGAATATTTCCATTAACCTTTTAGCTCAATTTGCGTTAAAATATTACCAGAAATAAGAAAATGGAGACATGATAAAATATAGAATTCTTTTCCCAAATAATGTAGCAGGATGTGAGATGGATTCAGATATGACTTTATAGGATGAAATATCAAGGTTCCTCCACTTTTAAAAGGTCCAGATAATAGAGAGTATACAACTTAAAGACAGTGGAAATCTTTTGAAATGTTATTAAGGAAACATGATTAATATTCAACTTAAAAGATGAATTATATCAGACTTTTACTGCACAGACATTATATTTTGTGGTAAATTATTTGACCTGTAGCATATCTGAATCTATAAAATAGGGGTCAACTAAATCACTTTAAAAGGTTCACAGAGCTTTTAGTAAAAAACTATAAATCTTACCATGTTGTAATCATTCATTACTTCTTCCATTTCTGTATTGGTGTTGAGTTTATCTACTAACTAAAAAAGACATCATAATACCATCAATTATTAAGAGCCATCTCTGTAGTTAATCAATATTACAATTAATCAGTCTTATAAACAGTCATCTGCTTGGAGGCTTATTTTATGAAAGATGAATATTAAAGAATTTTAAGCATCTTCTGCAAAAGAGACAGCATTAGACTATCTTAGAGAGCAAGTGGGTATTTGGCTAATGGCTATATTATTTAGGTTAAAGAAGTAAGCAGTAGAAGCTGGTCTTTCCTAAAAGCTCTGCCCAGTAGCTTCTGCTTCATAGTAAAGAGAGTTCAATTCCTGTGCAGAGAGGAGAATGGTAAAAACCTTTTGGGAGTTTATTAAATTTGGGGTGCTAACATATAATTGCACAAAAGTCCAAAGAGTCTCTCTCAAGTTGTCTAAAATTAAAGGAAGTCAAAGTAACAAAAGAAAGACTGGATAGGAAGACTATTACAGAAAGGTGAAATGGGTAACATGAAAGAAATAAATACATGAAGAGTAACTTATTTTAGCATAATATGTTCTGTCTAGAAAATACATTAAGCACTATGATTTCTGCTTTAATTGGTCTTAATAAATAAAAAGCAAAATTTAACAGCTAACATTCATTAGATTTTTAAAATAAAACCATACAAGCACTACCTAAGAGGTGACTTGAAAATTGGTAAAATTATTGTACTGGTCTAAATATAGGTCACCTCCAAAAATAAGACCTTACCCAAAAAGCTGATCTCAGTGAAAAGAAGAATACATGTAGCACACACTTAGAAATAACACTAATCATAATTTGCTCTCAGGTTTTACAAAAATCAAGTGCTATTTAACTTAACCAGATTTATGTGGCCTATTTCAGATCAATATGGTAAGTGCCATTTTAATAGATAATGTATCTACTGTATCCTGTAATCACTTAGATACCTAACAACAAAAAATTTCTGCTTCAAAATCAATATACCATTTGGCAAAAGTTGTTTCCTCTCTATTTATAGGAAAACATGGATGAGAATTACACAGGATGGGCAGGCATGGATTAGTTCTGATCTGTATCACTGGGAGAACCAAAAGATTCCGTATCTTGTTAAGCATTTGTTTTAATATAGATTTTTTTCCCTGTAGAAATTAAGCAACTAAGGTCACTAAAAACAGACTAGTTTTATATTTGTATTTTATATTTATATATTTATATTTTTAAAAAATTAGCACGTACACCAAAGTAGGCTTGGAGAACTTTTCATTTTATTACCTGCAGTTTTCATGACGTTCTATAAGCTACATGATATCTACTACATCTGTACTTCTATTGCCCTTTCTCAGTAGGAAGAAATTCACATAACTTTTCTGTTGGTTTCCTGAGGGGCTGTTATGGATTTGGTTCCTGATAAAGAGCTAAGTTGAACCTCGTAATATGAATATGTTAATTTGGCTATCCAGTGAAATCCAGAATATCCAGTGAAATTTTTCACTTTACCCAGACCCTCGTTTCTTTTTACCTTGGAGGAAGAAGCTAAGTTTCTACCTGTTTACAGTGTGGAGAGTGCTAACTTCTTTTCCTCTATTACGTCTTACTTGAATTGTTTTCTGTTGATAAGAAAATGTAGCGTAGACAATTTTAACACTTCACAATTTCAACTGATCAAAATTACTATTAATTTTCATCCATCCACAAACAATTGCCCCTCTTATTAGGAAAATATTCAATAATGAAACCATCTTTGGATTAAAAGACAGAATAATATATTTAAATAATATATTTAAAAGGCAATTAAATCATGCAATAAGAATTATCTTGGAAAGGGACAATTACCATATTGTAGTCAGCTAGTTGTCCTTGAAATTCTTTGATTTCAACAGCTAAAGTCTCTGCCCTGTATACATGAAAAA